ATCCTCCCTTCCGTTGTTCCTCTTTCCCTCCTCTCGCCTCTTCTCTCCCTCCGCTCTTCTTCCCTTCCCTGCTCCACTCTTGGGTCATCCTAACAAGCTGCTACAGGAGAAGGCATACTATGCTTCCAAGAGTTTTGTAGAGGAGAAATGAACATCTTACGATGAACAGCTTATCTTTCAGCCCTCAGATCGCCAATTGCAGCGAGTTAACTTAATGAAAGCGACTGGTCGCGTTATTACACACGATCTCCATCTAATCATCTCTTTCTCACTGGATCTTTCTTGTCCACCTCCTGATCGTCGTCATCGTCATCATCATCATCATAATCACCATATCACTAAGTGACAACTTGTTCCATTTTTCACATTTACTGCTCATCCACCATTCTCGCCACTATCAGCCCCCCACAAGGCAGGTCGGTTATCATAGTCTGCAGCTCCTCCACCCTCTTCAAGATCAGACTCTCCTTCACAAACACGAGAACGTGCCTGTCCTTTCCCCTCCATCCTCCTCCTCCCTCCTCCCCCTCCTCTTCCTCCCTCACCATCCTCCCAACAGCCAGCATCTTCTCCCTGGCAAGATGCGCGAGCATGGCCGCTAGGAGATCGTTGTTGCTCCCTGCCGCCGGCACCAGCGTCGTCCACTCCAACAACTTCAGCCGCTCCACCTGACTGCCCAAGTCTATCTCATGCGCAAGGTACTGTATGTTAATCTTCATGCTCCTCCTCCCGCTCGCCTCCTCCGCCTCCTCCGACCCTCCACACCTCATCTTGCAGAGGTACTTCCCGTGCTGAACTAGCCAGATGCAGGAGGAGGACAGGAGGCAGGGATGTATCCCATTCTTCGTCCTCTCCGCCTCCTGCTCCATCCTCCCCTCGCTCGCCTTTCTTGCCATCTTCTCAGCTATCGCTGCTTCCCGCGCGTCGTCTGCGCTGACCCCCAGCTGTGGGAAGTGAAGGTCGATGCCTTCCAACCGTCCTGGAGGAACAAGAGTGAGAAAAAGGAGGGAAGGGAATGAGGGAAGGAGAGAAGGGAAGAGGAGGAGGAGGAGAGGCAGGAGGAGGAGGAAGAGCAGGAGGAGGAGGAGGAAGAGCAGGAGGAGGAGGAAGAGGAGGAGGAGGAGGAGGAAGAGCAGGAGGAGGAGGAAGGGGCTGAACAGCAGGAGGAGGAGGAGGAGGAAGAAGGGGCTGAACAGCAGCAGGAGGCGACCGGCATTGTTGAGTCTCTTCGAATAAGAAACTTTCTTGCCGATCAGCCAGCGCAAGACGTCACTGAAGCCTCCGATACGGCAGGAACGAGGGGCAGCCGCCTTGAGGGGGAGGAGGTAGAGGGTGAGGTTCAGGTACGTCTCCGTTGAGTCTTCCTCCCTGGCGAACGCAAACCCTCCCATCTTGTTGTGATTGGATAGCCCTGCTTTGGTGATAATAGCTTCATACCTCGGCTGGTTTGCTGTGGCCATCCCTCCCCCTGCTCCTGCTCCTGCTCCTGCTCCTGCTCCTGCTCCTGCTCCTGCTCCTGCTCCTGCTCCTGCTCCTGCTCCTGTTCCTGCTCCTGCTCCTGCTCTTCTGTCGTCGTATCCGATATCCTCCTCCATCTCCCCGTCATCCTCGTCGTCGTCTGAAAGCAGTTGCGCCACTTGGCTGGCATAAGACGCTGCGTCCATATCCTCGTTGTTCTCTTCCATCTCCTCCTCCTCCCCCCCCCCGCAAGCTGCTGCCCCCTCTCCGTCCTCTCCCTGATCTTTGTGTCCCGGTTCATCCTGCCAGGGAATGAGGATGATGAGGGAAGGAAGAGAGGGATGAAGGGAAGGGAGGGAAGGAGGGAGGGAGGTAATGGGGGGAAAGGGTGGGGGCTGGCGGCAGGGAAGGAGGGTGGAGAGAGCGAGCAAGAGGAGAGAAGAGAAGACAAGGAGATGGAACCTGTTCATCGCCATCGGCAATGAGCCGAAGAATCTGAGAGAGACGAGGTGAGAAGGAGGAGGAGAACGATAAGACGAGAGGAATTTGATGAGAACATGCACCTGGAAGTCTTCGTTGACAACCACCTGCCGCCCTTGTCAAGACATGGCATCCTTGTCAAATCATGATGTCGATGTCGACAAGAAACTCACATGACTTGCTTTGGCCCCTTTGCAAAGTCGAATTAAGTTGAACAGTTTCATGTCAGTCACAAGTTTGTCGACCTAAGAACGTATCATTCGGTTGTGATCACAACACATTCACTCTCTGACTGTTTTTTTGCAGATTGGACATGCTGCACCGAGCATTTTTATCCATATCTTGACTTGTATGCTCTTTGCGGTTACTGTTCCTATATCTAGAGACAACAACTCCTCCTGCATGTTGTCCCCTGCTGGTAGATGTTGACAACAGACAGATACGTGGAAAACACCACCACAACAACCATGATCAAGAAAGATTACCAAAATCATAGTTTCCATCATCATCATCATCATCATCATCATCATCATCATCATCATCATCATCATCGTCACCACAGCAACTCAGGTTCATTTCTCAACCTTTCTCGAACACTTTGGGAAGGTCTTCACGAAGAACATCCAAGATGCTTCCAACTGTCATCTTATCTCAATTCGTGTTCTCAATCAGAGCAAGGCTGTGATTTCTGTTTGTTGTCTATGTTTCCTCTCGTTTTCTTGTCTATTTCGTATCTCGTTTTCTTGTCTATGTTGTTTAATCTCTGTGTGCTGCCTCTACGACTTTGACTCTCCCATCTCTATCAATCTTTCAGTCTGCTGTTGTTGTCCTTGGCTCAATCCATCATGTCAATGTTGAATCTTCATTCGTTGTGCTTTCCATCTCTCCGATCAGGTTCAGCAATCTTACCCCATCTCCATTTCTTTCCTTCCCTTCTCAAATCGCCATTTTCTTCCCAACGCTCTACCACGATCTGCAACCCTCTCCTTCCATCCGAACTATTCCACACATGTGATCTCCGTTATCTCCACATTCTCCCACTTCATCTGTCCGAGCTTGATCTGTCATTTGTTTGTTTCCAATATCCTCACTCACTGATTCCGACGTCGTTTCCTTCTCCAAATCTTTGTTCATCTCCTGATTCTCTACCTCCTATCCTTCATTCGTCCTCTATTTCCTCCTACCTCTCCCTCTCCCTCTCCTCTTCCACTTCTCCCTCCTCCTCTTCATCTTCCTCCTCCATTCACCTGATCGCTTGTCACCGAAGAATCTTGTCATCATTGCAATCTGTCTCGTCGTCGTCGTTTCCACATCCAGGCACAGCAGAGCTCTACCTCTTCCCTCCTCGCTGAACCGAATGTCTTGGTCGAGATGATTCATCGAGATGTCGAACTGCGAGCCCTCCGACCCCTTGCAAGCTTCTTCAAGCGCGATCCTGTAGGGAGAGAGGAATGTGGAGGATAAGGAGGAGGAGGAGGAAGAGGAGGAGGATGAAGGAGGGAAGTTGGAGGAGGAAGAAGAGGAAGAGGAGCCAGAAGGAAAGGAGCGGAGGTGGACAGAAAGGAGGAGGAGGAGGAAGAGGAGAGGAGGAAGAGGAGGAGGAGGAGGAGGAGGAGGAGGAGGAGGAGGAGGAGGAGAGAAAACAGTGACAGGAGAGCGATCAAATTCAAACGTCAATCATCAGCATTTGGTCCACCAGCGTCTGCACGTCACCTTATGACAGTCTTGATGTTTGACTCCCACTTCTTCTCATTCGGGATGTTGACTTTCTTTGATTTCAAGAACGAAGGCTTGTCAAAGCACGACTGATGAGAACATTCGGCGCCTTTGCCTATGGACATGTCACTCCTCTCTCAGGGACATGTTCACTTGTACAAGGGTGTGTCATGAGTTCGTTCGAGATGGGATCAAGCAAGGACAAGAACACTTCTCTGCTGGGAAGGGAGCCGTCAGGTTGTGATGGGATCTTAACATCTGTTGGTATCGAGCAATCATCCTGCTTGTTGCTCTGAGGTGCTTGCGAGCTTGTTGACACGCTGACTTGTGCTGGGTTTGACATGCTAGTATCGACTTCCCGTTGCTGTACACTTTTGTTCTCTGATGAGGTTGGATCGGTTTCAAGCAAGGTTGTACTGATTTCATGTGTTTTCTCGAAGGCGATGGTCACATCATTCTGCTCAAAAGTCTTGGATGAGGAAATTTTTCCCTTCAATGCTGATTTAGTGCTGAGTTTGATTTCTCGCTCTTTCGGTTTCGTCCGATCTGGATTAACGTTGGTTTTCGATTGCAAAGAGCCTTCTGGATTCATTTCAGTTTCAGGTTGGGTACTGCCCTTGGTTGTCTTGTCCTGTGCGATTTTCTCTTCTCCTTCTCTTCTCGCGCTACCTTTTCCTCCTTGATTTCCCAAATGCGTCTTACTTGTTTCGCTCAGCTGACCTTCGCTGTTATTCTTCTTCGACTTCTTCCCTTGCAACACAGTTGCGCTCAACATCGTTTCCTGTACATCTTTCACTGCCGTTGTTGCCCGGTCGTTCATGACTTGTTCTACATTCGTTCCTCCTTGCTGAACAGCGGTCTTCTCCTTGAAAGGATTTTTCTTGTCGATTTTCACAGTCTTCTTGGTATTGACTGACATGACTTGGTCATCGTCGTCACTTTCCACTTGAAGTCTCAACTTCCGCTTCTGCTTTGCCTCCTTCTCGTGAGGCTTGTTGGAATGATTGGATTTTGTCTCATCGCGTTTGAAAGCATTCTCCTTCTTCTCTTCCCTTGGGAGCTTTTTGATCTGCACCCCGTTGACTTTGCTGAGATCTTTCAGCTTGGTGACATGCTTGCTCGAAACATCTTTGTCCTTCATGTCCTTCATTGCCTTGACTGTCACAATCCTCTTCTCACTCTCTTCTTTCGCTTCCTTCTTCTCATCATCGTCCTTCTCGTCTTTTCGTTCCTTCTTTTCTTTCATCTCTCTCATTTCTTTGAGTTCGTTCTTCTGCAACTTTTGAGGATTCATAGCTTCATCGCTCTTCCCCTCCTTGTCTTCATCCTGATTCTTAGCACTTTTCTTGCCTGCCATCTTCCCAGAAACATCATCACTTTTGCTCTCCGATCTGGGTTCTTTTGCTTCTGCCTTCTCCTCAACCTCTCGCAAACTCTTTTTGCTGTAAAGTTTCGCGAGGGGGATCTCTTCAGACAAGCACAAATCATCGTCATCATCGATGATCAGATTCTTCTTCTCCTCTCTATCCTTCAGGTTTTGTTCCTCCTCCTTCCTACCCGTCACTTTCGTTGTAGCCTCTGAAATCTTCTTGGAGTCATCTTGTATCTTGGTGCGCTCGTTTGCAACCCTTGCGTCCATGTTCGCCTCGCCTCCTTCCTCCTCCTCCTCCTTCACCTTCACCTTGTACAGCCCTCTGATCTCTTCCAGCACATCCTCCAGCTCGGGAGTCGGCTCGTACCCTTTGCGCGAGGAGGCAAAGTTCAGCATGGCGCTCGTCCCGAAGAAGCGCATCGCCGCCATGTCGTACGCCCTTGCCGCCTCCCTCTCCTCCTTGTACGCTCCCAGCCTGTGCTTTTCTTGCTCTACCTCGATGAACGCCTCCCACTTCCTCCCCCTCTTCACGCCCTCCAGCAGTCTCTTGACGCCGATGAAGTCGGATTGCTCTTTAACCCTCTTCCTCTTCCTCTTCTTCGTCCCATCATCTCCCTCCTCGTCCTCGTTCGCAGCGTTGAAGATCGTCCTTTTCTTTCTCACTGACCGTGAAAACAGTCCCTCCAGCTCGCACATCACTCCATCATCAAGTTCTGCGCTGGCCTCTTGCACCACACCGGTGGACATGGCAGGAGCACAGTGAACACTTGCATTCTTCCGCTCCTCCGCCGTTTGCAAGTTCATCCTCTTCACATTGGGCTCCCTGTCTCCATCATCGTATTGGATCGTGTACCGTCCTCCTCCCTCCGTGCTTTCAACTTGGACCACCTTCCCCAGGTACCACAACTTCTCTCCCTTGCTGTGGTTCCAACGGCCATACACCCGCTCCCCCACCTCCAGCACGTTCAGCTCCTGCTTCTTACACCAGTCGTAGTCTCTACACAACCGAATCATCTTCTTGTCGACCCCGAACTCCCTGTCTCCATCATCGTACGTGATGTTGTACTTGCCTCCCGGCCAGATAGCTGATATGATCCCAGGATACATCTTTTTCCCTCCTCTGTACTTTGCTTCTATCAGCTGCCCGATCTTGAACTCTTCTTCATGCTCCTTTCTCTTCCGATCCTTCCCGCCGCTCGTACCCGATCGATGTCCGTCCTCACTATCCTTAGCCTGCACCTCCTTGGTAGAAACATGTTCCACAGGCTGCCGACTCGAGCTAGACGGCAAGGGATCCAGCACTTCCACCTTCTGCTTCTTCCCTCTACCCTGTCGCTCAGCATGCATACTCTTCAGCTTCGTGAAGGCCTCGTTCTTGTCCCATCCGCACTCGTTCAGAACCTTCATGATGTCATCCTGCTCGAAAGCCTCTATCCCCGCCGTCATGAGCGACTGCATCACCATGAGCGCCGACTCGATGTCCGACTCCTCCTGACCCCTCAGCACCCTCAGAGCTGCCTCCTTGTTCCACCCCTCGACTTGAGCGCCGCGTACACATCATCATGAAGGAACGACTGCACTCTCTGCCTCTCCTTCGTGTCCTTCTCCTCCGCGACCCACTCCTGCCATATGCTGAACGCTCTCTCCCTCTGCATCTGCTCCCACGCCAGCCCCTGCATCTTGTCGTGCGGGATGGGCTCCCTTTCAGCCATCCGCACGAAGGCCCTGCCTCCGGCCAAGGCCTGCAACATGAGGTCAGGACGTACATTGAAGGAGGTGGACAAGATGATAAGAGGGGAGGAGGAGGAGGAGGAGGAGGTCGGAGGAGGAGGAGGAGGAGAAGGAGGAGAGGAGAAGGAGGAGGAGGAGTAGGCAGGAGCAGGAGTAGAGTAGTAGTAGTAGTAGGAGGAGGAGCAGGCAGCAGGCAGGA